GAGGAGGCCACAGTCCGAGGTCAAACATGCTTTCATCAAGGACAAGGTATCTAAACTCTTTAAGAACTTCTATCACGAAACGCTTTTAGCTTGAAAATTACTCCATTACAGTACTTAGTGAGTTAGTGGAGTAATTAGTGATGTTAGGTTAAACCATGAGCAATTGAGCGGAGATATCGGCATGAATTATTCTTTCATTAGAATTTAACCTATATACATTGATAGTATAACTATAAAGATTTTAATACAATTAAAGTATTTTAATCAGTTATTTATTGTAATTTTAGGTAAATTAGGATAGCCATATTTCTTTTTTCCCGCCAAAAAATTATATCTTCGGTCCACTTTTATTTTTGCTAACTAGGTTATAGAAAAATATTTTTTAAGTTACACAAGAAAGAAGAGTGACTTTTGTATTACAAAGCTTAACTTGAATTACACATGAAATTTACCGAGCATATTTAAATCTATGATCGATTCAAATTATTTTCATATTTCTGCTTAATTACTTATTTTACTTTGTTCTGTTTGGGTTGATACAGATGGTGAGTTTACGAGATATTACTTCATAATATAGAAATACTCTAATCTACGAGAATTTATCGCATATGTACATTTGGGATAAATATATATTGTTTTATTTTGCCACTATTCACATATTTCAGGTGGTTTAGGGGGTTTTAAAATTTATTTATGTGTCTATAATAAATTTTCTACCAAATCATAAAAGTCAGAATGAATATTATCCCTTCATTTTCCAAATTTATATGGCGTTTTCTCTAAAAATACATCTGTTGATTGGTAAATCCTGAAAATTGGTTTCTTTAATTTGCTTATGTATAATAGTCGGGGGGAAATGTAGTGAAAAAAATAAAGGGGCAAAAGATGAAGTTCAGTGAAAAGATAACTATATGTGTGTATGGGTAAAACCGAGCTCGGTGTTTGATCGAGTTTATGGAACGGAGGGCCAAGGTCGGTATATCTGTAATTGGGTAAAAATCGAAATCCGAGCTTCGATCTGACATCCAACATGGTCAGCCACGGGCGGAATATAATATTCGAGACCAGACCCAAAGCATCATCAAAACTAGCTATCGAGATTATCAGATTTGTCCTCGAGTTAACCAGGTATAACCGGTCCCGTTTCTAGGGGTCTCGGAAAAAGCTTTGTCGACTTATCCGACAAGGGTCCGTAATTCTCGCCATTAACCAATCATTATGGCAGAAATTACGGAACGACTAAAAAAGAGAACCAACGGTTAACAAATTAAAGACTTTTGCCTTTTATAGAACAACAAAATAATACCTTAAAAGGTAGATCTCCCCTAACATATAAAAGAGGGCTTGACAATTCATTAGGAACATTGTAACATATATTCATAAGCAATACATTTTTCAAGCTCTTACTCTTTGATATTTTTCTGTCAATAAAAGTGTATTCAACTCAAGGGTGGCTGACATTCTAAAATTGAAATCATCCAATTCATGTGGTTTGCAGTTATTTTATCGCTATTTATTTTAATTGCAATCTAATTTATCACTTTGTATCAAGTTATTCCACATGTCCTTATAACCACTAACATATTCAATTGTTATCCGATTTTGAGGGTAAACAGGTTGGCGCCCACCGTGGGGCTAAGGATAATAGTGGTTATTTGATATAAATCTTCATAACACACCCTACTTTACACTTTCTCTTTGAAGTGTCTTTGATTTCAGGCTAAAAATGCCAAACTCTCAATTAGCGCCCCTACATATCGACAATGAGTCCAGTCACCAGGGTGAGAATAACAACATAGCTCCCGGTAACATAGGACTACCCGCTGATCCCGTTGGAATTTCGATCGCAGATTCGATTGATGTTAATTCACATGTGGATATCGACGCCAACTTGCCTACCGACCTCGAAAATAGCATCCGTGGTGGAGCCCGATCGACAGCTCGAAACACACAAAACAATAATGAAGACGAGATCAGCCTACGAATGATCTTAGAAATGCTGCAAGCTCAACATGTGGCGATAGCTCAGTTGCAGAGCCAAAAGCAGACGTCGAGCAGGGTTGAACCCGATCCGCCCCGTGAAGTCACCCGCAGAATGAACCGGTCGTAGTAAGGTCAAATGAACAAGAATCGGGTACTAACCCCGTGATTATAAAGAAGCCCGAGGAGCTGACAAAGCGGATAGAATCAGGGGAAAGAAAATTGAAGCAAACGACAAAAAGGTGAAAACCTATAATTTCAGGGTGGATCAAATCCCAGGGGCACCTTCGATATTAAAAGGACTGGATTTCAGGAAGTTCGTGCAAAAATATTTTCCTCCAAGTGCGGCTCTGAAGCCGATCCCCAAGAAATTTCGTATGCCCGAAATACCTAAGTATAACGGGACGACCGATCCAAACAAGCATGTAACCTCTTATACATGTGCTATCAAAGGGAATGACTTGGAATACGACGAGATCGAGTCTGTTCTACTAAAACAATTTGGGGAGACCCTATCAAAGGGAGCCATGATATGGTATCACAACTTACCTCCTAATTCTATTGACTCATTTGCTATGCTTGCAGACTCTTTCGTAAAAGCACATGTCGGTGCCATCAAGGTCGAAACCAGAAAATCGGACCTTTTCAAAGTCAAATAGCGGGACAACGAGATGCTCAGGGAATTTGTGTCCCGTTTTCAAATTGAACGAATGGATCTGCCGTCGGTCGCTGATGATTGGGTTGTTCAAGCTTTCACTCAAGGACTCAATATTCGAAGCTCGGAGGCTTCACAATAACTGAAGCAGAATTTGATAGAATACCATGTCGTTACCTGGGCCGATGTACATAACCGGTATCAATCAAAAATCAGAGTTAAAGATGACCAACTCGGGGCCCATTCAGAGTCTGTTTATCCCGTCACCACCTTCGACAGAGTAATGAGAGATATCAATCGTCAACCAAGATCAAACATGGATCGATATATGCCATATAATGGAGATCGGAGGAGCAGTGGGTTCGGGCGGAACCCCGTAAGAAACGAAAGGAGAAATGATCAAGGTCGAAGCAACCGAGGGATCATGACCAAAAACAGCTTCGATAGGTCCATCGGGCCTAAAGAAGCATCGAGGCTATCGGAATGCAACTTTAATGTCGATGCTGCCACCATCATATCAGCTATCGGGCGCATCAAGGATACCAAATAGCCTCGACCTCTAAAATACGATCCATCTCAAAGGGATCCTAAGCAGATGTGCAAATATCATGGGACCCACGATCATAGAACGGAAGATTGTCGACAATTGAGAAAAAAAGTAGCCCGACTATTCAATATCTTTGTGATGCCATGGTATACTTTAGTTCAGGTATTTGGAAGTCATGTCATAATGTTACATAAACAATACCTATGTGAGTTGGACAGCTATCTATATCTGAAATATCAAGAATGCAAGCAGGTCTTCAACTATTTGGCTCTTCATTTTTCATCCCTTCTTGGTATAATTTTTATTTTTAGCGTAAAAATTGATACTTTGAAGGTGAATTAAATTGGGTTTATATATATACTGTAGTATTACTCTTTCCATAAAGATCTAAAATACGTAACAGAACTTTGAAAGTGGGTCAAAAGCACATACCAAAAACATAGAAATTCCATAGAACACTATTATATAAAGTATAAATAAAATATCGTGATTAAAATAATAACATAATTAAATTTTCTTCTGCGATACAAATCTACGTGAGTTTTAGCGCAAAATCATTAAGGAGGTTAGATTTTTTTTTTTACCATAATCACTTGTATAAAATAAAAAAGAAAAGTATAGATAAAGTTTATGGATAATCCAAATAAAATAAACAGAGAAAGAAAAAAAATTACAAAATAGGATTTTACCTCATATAAAATTTCCTTGTTTGTAACTATAATTCATTCCATAATTGTTAGTTATTTGACCCTTTAATTATTATTTAAATATATCCGACATATTCTTGAAGTTCCAAAACCATACAAATTCTAAAACAATAGAAACATTGGACGTTCTTGCTTCTGTATAAAGTATTTCATTGGCCCATTCCCAGTCTCATCTTTTTTCTTCTTAATTTTTGACGCAAAACTTTCAAATACTTTTTGTATATCAGTCTGCTATATATTTTTATTTTATTTGTGTAGATTTGTATTATAATTGTATGTATACAGAGATATATACACATTCATGGTATTCTTGTAGTTGCTTTTAAAGCCGATTCTTCTAGCTGTTGTGTTTGTCAAAGGGAATCTTTTTCAATATAATTTATTTTTTTATTTGATCGATCTATCTCCGACAAAATTTCTCATATATTTCTCCCTTTGTAATATTATTTTAGTTTTTGGCGATTTATATTTAGATTTTGTTGTTTTCAGGACTCAAATAGCAAAAGATCAAAAGTACAATATGGCAAAACCTAAAAGTAACGACCCGACTGGCCGTTTTGAGTTTTAGCGTGTCGTTCGGCGGTTTGAGGTCTTGAGTAGCTTCACTCCATATTTTATGACTTATACGTGTGGTCGAAATTAAATTTCGGGAAGTTCGGAATTGATTTGAAAAGAAAATTTTAATTTCAAAAGTTTTAAGTTGGAAGAATTGATTAAGGTTTGACTTTTGAGTAAAATGACCTAAAAGCAAAATAATGTGTGTAATTCATCTAGAAAAGGACTAGGAGGAAATAAAAAATAGGGGGAGGACGTGAAAGTAAGGAAAAACGGAAAAAAGAAAAGATAAGGAGGGGCTAGTTTCTTTGGGGAAAGGGACACGAAAAAGGCACCTAAAAAAAAGAAGAGGAAGGAAACAAAAATGAAAGATACGAAAACAACAAAAAGAAAGAGAGCTTGAAATCTCACAATCACTCATCTTCCTCATATTCCTTTTGAACATAAACAATGGCTATATTCTATCCAAATTCAGCTAGATTGAAATTAATCTATCAAAGCAACGTAATGGAAATCGATTTCGTCGGTTGAGTTGATGTCGAGTGATTGAGGCTGAGATCTGGTGCGTAGTAACCTGTGCTTTGTTCGAATTCGAGGTGCAATCACATTCAAGGAAAAATAATATAATACAAACGACTTTTTCTTTTTCTACCTTGCTTCAATTTTTACTTCGTATATCATAAATTAGTGGTTTATTTGTTATGTTTCATCACGTTTTGATAATTTTATTTATTTATTTATTTTGCTTAATTTGTGCTTGTTGTGTAGAATAAAAATAATAACGATTTTTGACTTTTTCTTTATGTTTTTTTTTGGGTTTCGTAAGTGTGATATGTACTGAAATTCTTTCTCCTCTATATAATGTTCAGTTCATTTCTGTATCAGCCTTCCTATTTAGCTGCTTTGGTATTTTGCACTAATTCTTTTTTCATCACGAGTTTGATTAGTTTAATAAGATCATAAATTGGACGATAGTTTTGGTTATTAAAAAGGTGAAGATGAAACTGTTTTGGGGTTCTTCTCTTCGTCTCTGATTTCTCATTATCACTGTGTATGTGCTTTATTGGATTTTGTTTTGTTATTTTTTTTAGCTGACCTTTATTGATTCCACATAGTCTTCTGTTGGGCTTAGTTTCCAATTATTTTCCATAGTCCTCCGTCTTGGTTTTATTACAAGTTTAATACATGGTTTAAATATGAAAATTTCTTAGAAATTTGGGATTTTGGGAGAAAATATAGAATTTGGTATTTTTGGATTTTGACCACGAAATTGGATATGGAATTAAGAATAAATTATATATTTGAGTTCGTGGTGTTATGGATAAAGTTTATCTTCGAAAATTTTCGAAATTCGGGCGTGTGGGTCCGAGGGTTGACTTTATTGGCTTTTGAGCGAAGCTGAGAATCATTATAAATTATTAAATTATATGTATTGGGGTATATTTTGATTGGTTTGTACGCTGTTTGACTAGTTTTGAAGAGACGAGCATCGGGTTGAGGTGTTTGAGTGGTGTTGGAGCCAGTTATGAAATTTCGAAGCGAGGTAAGTCTCTTGTCTAATCTTGTGAGGGGGAATTTATCCCATAGGTAATTAAAGTAATAATTATTGCTAATTGTGGGGGCTACGTATGCACGAGGTGNGATGAAAATATCATATGCTCAATTTTCTGTTTTAATTAATTAATTGTTAAAAGAAATTGTCCACCCTCTCGAATTGATCTTTTAATGAATATACTATCCTTCCGGAGGTACATAAGAAAATGTCCTCCTTTCTTGTGGAGTGGGCCAAACGCATCGGCAGGATAGATGCATCTACGGATCGCGCCGCACGTCCCTCGGCAGTGTACACGACACTCTGGATCGGGTCGTACGACCTCGGCATTAATCGTGCCTAATAATAATAATTACATGATACTTTGCTATTTTTAATTGGAGCTTGTGAATTTAATTAATAGATTGAGAATTGTTGCATTTGAAGAAATTTGATTGATAAATTGGAAACTATTGGAAATTGAAAGAATTAATTATCTCTGCTTGTTAAGGAAATTATGGTTATTCCTGTAAATGAGGCTAATTGATAAATTAGAAATTTATTAGAATTAAAGGAATTTAATTATTTCTGCTGGTTCAATAAAATTATCGTTAACTCTATGAATTATGTTGATAAAAATATTTCTATTTTTATGTTACTTATTATTATTGACTCTTAGTGAGTGTCAAAGTTGACCATCTCGTCTCTAACTCTTCGAGATTAGGCTTGATACTTACTGGGTACACGTTATTTTCGTACTCATGCTGCACTTACTGCATATTTTATTGTGCAGGTACATATATGTCTAGCGGCCTTGTGGGCGCAGAGGTGTGGTTAAAAATTGTGGGGATATAGATGAGCTGCATTTTGTATTATGATCCATAGCCAACAGAGTCTCCTTCAGAGTTATTATATTTTTCTATCTAATTTCTATTTTGGACAGATGCTGTATTTTATTTTTAATTCCCTAGTAAATGCTCATACACTTGTGACACCGTATTTTGGAAATGGCTGTGAATTATTTAGAAATTTAGTTGCAAAAAATATTTATCATTTACTCTATGAGTTTTATCTTTATTATTTCATTAAAGAAATTTTGATTTCAAAAATACTAAAATGGGTAATTAAGCTAAGTATGTATTGTTGGCTTGCCTGACAGCGGTGTCCGGCGCCATCACGACCTTTAATGGATTTTGGGTCGTGACAAACATGGTATCAGAGCACTAGGTTCACTTAGGTCTCACGAGTCATGAGCAAGTCTAGTAGAGTCTTGCGGATCGGTACGAAGACGTCTGTACTTATCTTCGAGAGGCTACAGGGCTGTTAGGAGCACTTCCCTTCTTGATTTCCTCATCGTGCGATTTAATTCCTTTGAGGCTTATGCCTTTGTATCTTTCCTATTAAATCTTGTGCGATGTGTCATCAGCTACTGTATATTCAAGAGTAGTATTCTTCTTTTTGAAATATTCTTCCTTAACTTTGATTATATCAATTTCAACTCTAGTTATAATTGCTCTAGTTAGAAAATCCTCATCAGTTCCTAGCCCATCTGTGGATATTTTTACAACCTGAAATGCCCAGATACGGAGGAGAAAAATGAGGGAAAGATTCTTTAGTCGCTGTCATTAGGTGATGAACAAAACCAGATATCTAGTGCACGTAAAGAGATTATGAAACAATCAAATCAAGATAAATTTGTTCCGGTAGGAGCGGGGGAGGGGATGATATTACAATAAGTTCCATGAGATAATTACTTGCACCAGACAGCAACTCTGCTAAAAAGGGTAATAAA